GTGACGGACGGATTGGCTAAGCTCCCCTCGACTCAAGACTATATGGTGCAATATCTCCCAGAACCCCTTGGTCTTATCTCGAAGCTGGTTGAGTGGGACATCTTAGGCCCTCCTTACGTTAAACTCGTGTAATTTCTAGGCTCTTGCCTCTTCTTCATAAAAAAAGGCTTAAAATACAATTAAACTATAAAAATTAGAGTGGGCCGTATCCCCTTTCGCCGTCATGTGGTTCCAGATTCCACCACTGAAGCCAAAACATTAATCCTTGCAACTTGAACTCACCTTAACCGCTAGCCGCCGCCCATTCTTCTCCCTTCAATGAACCTGGCAAACAGGATTTATTAAACTAAATTAAATAAATTTGTTCATAGGTTAATATACTTGTTTAAACCTCTAATTTTTGTCTTATCTTTCTGATTGTATAAAATAATTATTACTTACGAGACTAGTTTAAATTAAATAAATAAGTTTCATTCAAAAATGAACAAAGCCTTGTCCAAATTTTTTAAACACAGCTGATTATTACATCTTACGAGAAAACAAATAAGTTGGGACGGTTTAAAATAGTATGTATAACAGATGATTTTGTGAAAGAAATAAAATATAATGATTAAATAAGAAAACAATAAGAAGAAGTATAGAGATTGGATGAAATTTTTTAGGCAAAAGGGTAACTTTTGCCTTTGTAATAGATCCAATTTATCACTTTCGTCTCTATCGTATTTATGCATCAATTTAGTCCTCAAAGTTACTCAATTGCATCATTCTGTACCCCACCTCTAACTTAAAAGCTTAAATTATAAACCCTAACAAGATTACCTCTAATTCATAAACATTAAACCCTAAGCACTAACTTGTGATTTATAATTTAGGGTTTTAAGTTAAGAGAAAGGAGTGGAATGATGCAATTAAATAATTTTGAGGGCCAAATTGATACGAAAATACGATAGAGACGAAAATGATAATTTAATCTATTACAGGGGCAAATGTGACCCTTAAACTAACTTTTTATTTCATTTTATATAGTGATATATACATATGGATTTTTAATATAAAATATAAGTTAATAATTTTTATTTTTAGAACTAAAAAGTGAATAAATTTAATCATCAATGATAGAATTGATAATGATTAAATTAAAAAAATAGGTTAAAAAAATAGGGTAAACTATATCAGACACCACCCAACTATAGTCATTTTTCGTTTTGACCACCATTTATGAATTCTTCTCAATCATACCACCCAACTATTTAAATACATTCAATCAAGCCACCTACCGTTAACATTTAACAGAAGTGTTGACATGGCAGTTAGTAAAATTGATATAATTATATATTTGGTCACTATTACTTATATATTATCTCAATTTAGTCCTAATTTTAATAAATTAAAATAAATTTAATATTTGAATCACATCATGCCACATGACACTAATACCAAATATCATGACATATATCGTCATCTGATTTGAGGATTTAATTTATTTTAATTTAATAGATTTATTTTCCACCAACCAGAGGGTGATGTGTCACCCTATGTTGGAAAGAAAATTTAAGGCATTAAATTAGGGGAGTGTGGCATTCAAAACTGGGAAACATGGGAGCTAATGCTCTCTCTAAACCAGTGGGCCAAGCAAACTTTTATGTCTAAAGTAGACTACATATGATATATATCTTGTATATTAATCTAATCTTAAATTCTTAGTATTTTATGCTACATCTTAACTTAAATTTATATATTATATTAAATTAAATTAATGTCTTAACATTAAAATTATATATTTTATACAAACTCTCATTAAACTATATTAAAACCCTAACAGTTTTCTTCCTCTTCTTTTTTTTTCTTTGTTTTTTACAACTTTTGTCAATTTTATTGATCAATTCAACTTTTTTTCTTCTTTAAATTTGTTTAATCGGTGGTGGCACCGATTTTGATCCTGATTGCTGCCCATCGGTTTTCTTTTTTCTTTTTTCTAGTTTTTAATAAGAATAATTATATCTTTGCAACATGTTTATTTGACTTTATGGCATGCCTATATATGCCTTTGTGGCACGTTTTTCTCTGCCTTTTGGTAGCTTATGGTTTTTTGTCGTTATTTTTGTTTATATTTTTTTTCTCATGGTTGGATTTGATATCTCCACGACTTATTAAGATGACACATATTTGTTATCATGATGATATTCCCTACTTTGGACCCTCCAATTGATTTGGATACGCGTTTTGCTTTCGTGGATAGTTTTTTTTACATCTCTTGACTCTGATTTACGATTTGTCAGTGACCTTCAGTAGCTTCATCCCCTTCTGTGGTTCGTTTGCCGATGCAGTCAAATTTGTTCGTATATTTATTTTGTTCGAGCTTTTTGGTTAGGTTTTTTAACATTTTCCTTATTTGGTCATTGTGTGATCTAGGTGGCTAATTTTTGTGCCAAATGGTTATAGGAAAATATCCTAATTATAATTTTGTTTACTTTTATGTTATACTTGTAAATCTTCATTTTATTTTTATCTTAATTTTTGTTTACGTTTATGTTATATTTGGTAATTTTGGATATTTTACATTTTTAATAAAACTAGCGGTTTTCTGTAAAAAAAATATTTTATTTTTATCTTAATTTTTAAATTATTATAAGAATCATTATATTTTATTTTATCTTAAATTTTAAAATATTTTGATTTTAATTTTTTTGACTTTGATTTTTATTTTAAAATATTATAAGAATAAAATCTATTTTTTATCTTAAATTTAAATATATTTTAATTTAAAATATATTTTTTATCTTAATTTTAAAATATTATAAGATTAAAAATAAATATTTAAGTTAAAGTAAGAATAAATTATATTTTTAAGTTAAATTAAAATTAAGATAAAAATAAAATATATTTTATTTAATTTAAATCAAAATTAAGATACAAAAATATATTTTATTTAAGTTAAATCAAAATTAAGATAAAAATAAAATATTTTAAAATTTAAGATAAATATATATTTTATTCTTATAATATTTTAAAATTACGATAAAAATAAAAATATATATTTTTAATGTTAAGTTGTTAACTTAATTTAATATAATATGTGAATTTAAGTTAAGATGCAATATAAAATACTAAGAATTTAATTTTATACTATTATACAAGATATATACCATATGTAGTCTACTTTAAAGATAAAAGTTTGCTTGGCCTTAGGGATGGCAACGGGTCGGGTTCGGGCCGGGTATTGGTCTCCCCGTCCCTGTTTAAAAAACCGGTACTCATCCCCGTTTAATAATCTGCAGGGATTTAAACGGAGATCCCCATTGGGTAATCGGGGAAAATTGCGGGGAAACGGGTATCCCCGTTTAGCATAAACGTTTATTTAAATGGGTATCGGTAGGGTTGTTCATTCGGTTAATTCGATGGCCGAACCGACCGAACTACCATTAACCGAATTAACCGAATTTTTTTTCTTTAACCGTTAATCGAACCAAAATTTTTTTTCAAAAATATTAATTTAACCGAATAAATAGAGCAGCTGTTGTTCCATTTTCTAGGGAAGAACGTGATGTTGATATAGGTCCCGAGGCTGATTTTAATATGGCTAATTCACATGCTTCGCTTTGTCAGAGGAACGTTAAAGCTTGTGTAATGGAGACAGCTTGTATGAGGTTATTGGAATGCGATGTGAAAATGAGGGTTGTTGTCGAAGAGACGAAGACAATATGCAAGTTGCATTGATTTTAAATTCTGCTGGACATAATTTCCAGCTTGCCAATGCTAGTGGTGGGCTTCAGGTGTGTAATGGTGTACTGGACGAGGACCCTGCATCAAGTACACGTTCGTTGGAAGTGGCACAATACCACCAAACCAACCAGACTTTTAACATTTAACTAGACAATGTTTGTCTATTAAAAGACATTAAAGGTTCACACGTGATTGCAAACAAGAAGTGTAAGCACTATTTTTACGATTAAAAGAAAAAAAAATATTATGAGACAGCGAAAATTGAGGTAAATTCTAGAAATTGAAGCGGGGACGATGTTTTAAAGTGGGGCAGTATGGGGCGAAAAAAATAATAAAAAATATTTAAGGGTTAATTTAAAATATGTTATTAATATTATATTTAAAAAAATAATTATTTTTAATATTTATCGGGTCTGGTATCAGGCCGGGTAATCGGGGCGGGGATTACCAAACCCGTCCTCATCCCCGTTTAACATAAACGAGTTTTCCCCGTCCCCGTCCCCATCCCTATTTATGATCCCCGAACCCGACCCGTTAAATTCGATTTTCGGTTTTCCCCGTCGGGTTCGGGTTTTTTTACCATCCCTACTTGGCCTAGTGGTTGAGAGAGAGCTTTAGCTTTCATGTTATCCAGGTCCGAATCTCACACTCCTCCAATTTAATATCTTAAATTTTCTTTCTATCTGATTTGTGAAAAATAAATTTATTTGAATTTATTAAAATTATGATCAAATTGAGAGAAAATATAAGTAACAATGACCAAATGTGTAATTATATCAATTTTGACTAATTGTCACATCAGCATTTTCATTAAATGTTAACCGTAGTGGACTGATTGATGCATTTAAATAGTTGGATGGTCTAATTGAGAAGAATTAAAAAATGGTGGTCAAAATGAAAAGGGACTATAGTTGGGTGACGTCTGGTATAGTTTACCCCAAAAAATAACAAACATAAAACTCTACAATCTCTGAATTTAAATGATTAAATTAAAGAGAAATAATATAATATTTAAATAAAATAATTCAAAGACCATATGTAATAAAATATGAATACTAATTTTGAAATACTACCAATCTTCTAATTTAAAATAAAATTTTTAATAAGATGGAATATGTTAGAATGACCCGACCCATATAAATGTATGCTAACTTGTCATTTTGCAGGGAGGTTGCTTCGTGGCACCATCGTCGAATCTCCGTTGAAAAGTCATCAAATCCAATCTTATAAATACCCTTTCACTTCCGCTTTCCACTCTCATCCAAAATAATCGGCTT